CCCTATAGTTTACAGAAAATAGTTAGGATGCAGGGATAAATCTCTAGGAGAATTTGGATGAGGACACTATGCTAGAAGGTGGAGAAGCATGCTGCTGTTGCTGCTCAGGCTAAAGGGGGATAATTCATGCTGCTTACTCAATGTCCAGAACCCAAAGTCCTAAAGAGTGTGTGTGTGTGTGTGTGTGTGTGTGTGTGTGTGTGTGTGTGTGTGTGTTTGTTTTAAATGATCTTGGTTATTGATTTTATCTTTTTGTTTTTACTTTTTAAAAAAATTTTAGATTTTATTTATTTACATGTGGTGCTGAGGATCGAACCCAGGGCCTCACACATAGTAGGCGAGCACTCTACCACTGAGCCACAACCAGCCCTGTATGTGTGTTTTAAAAAGCAGGAGGAATTTGTGGAACAATGACATCTATCCAATTGCCTAAGAGAAACCCTGACCTTAATCCCACCTTCAAGTCCATTCTAGACCTGAATAAAGGACTCGGGGATCATACATCCCTCCACCCTCATCCAATTCAACATGTGCAGGCAAATTAATAACAAAAATGACAAAATTACTTTTGTAAATTTATAACTCTAATTCATAGCCAATCCATAACTTTTACTAGACCTCAGGCAAATCACTTGTTTTCTCTGGTATTCAGTTTCCTCATCCAGAAAATATGTCCGTTACCCTCCTAAGGACATGTAAAAAGTCTATTACAAACACTTAACATACATACACTAAATACTAAATTTGCTAATACCACTATTTGCTAGTATTTGCTATTCAGATAAAATCTAAAAAGTTAATTCTTCTGGTGGGATAGTATGATGGGGGTATCAAAGTCAGTAAAAAGAATGCTGGAACTCACAAATAATTGTGTTGAGAATCAGACACTTACTGATCCCCAATCAAAAGAGTTAGAAATTTGTGTGGTAGAGAACACTTTAGGTCATCAGATAACAGTTATTTAATGGGAAAGGGCTAGGAATCTTTTGTGTAATATGCTCACATGACGAAGAACTATCCACACAACATGCTAACTCTGAAACTGCACAACCTATTAAAAATAAAGAGGAAAGGGGACACTTGGTAAATTATTGAAAACAGCAAAAATTCCTTTTGATGAAAAGATGAACTGAAGCAACATTAAGAGTTATAAAAATACCCAGGCATGGTGGCACACACCTGTAATCCCAGCAACTCAGGAAATTTAGACAGGAGGATCACCAAGTTCAAAGCCAGCCTCAACAACTTAGCAAGGCCTAAGCAAGTAGTGAGACCTTGCCTCAAAATTTAAAAGGGGAAGGAGGGCTGGGGTTGTGGCTCAGCAGTGGAGCGCTCGCCTAGCACGTGTGAGGCCCTGGGTTCAATCCTCAGCACCACATAAAATAAAATAAAGATATTGTGTCCATCTACAACTAAAAAATAAATATTGAAAAAAAAATTTTAAAAGGGGGGACTGGGGATATAGCTCAGTTGGTAGAGTTGTTTGCTTCACATACACAAGGCCCTGGATTCAATCCCCAGCACCACAAAAGAAAAAAAAAAAAGAAAGAAAGAAAAAAAGAGAAAAAATCTCAAAATTTAAAAACTGCTAGGGATGTGGCTCAGTGGTTAAGCATCTCTAAGTTCAATCCCCAGTACTCCCCCAATAAAAAAGTTATATAAGAATAGAGAATGGATTCTTTCTAGTAAAGACCATCTAAAGACCACCCCATTAAAAAAAAAAAACCTTTGTTGTTAAAACAGAAAGATGAGACACAGAGGTCACCTAGTGTCCAAGTTTGTGTCCAAGCAAAACTATAGTCCACACTCACCATTCCATTCCATTCAAGGAGCGAGTAAGCTGAGGGTGAGCAAAAAATACTGGGAAGAACCAGTCATAGTTATTATGGTAGTTTTTTTTTTTCCCATGTGTTCACAATTGTACTATGGTATGTGTGTGTGTGTATGTGTGTATATGTTTATACACACATGGGGGGTTGGGGCGGTGCTGAGGATAAAATCAGGGCCTTGCACATGCTGGAAAAGTGCCCTAGTACTGAGCTATGCCTCTAACCATATATTCACTGTTAGTTGCTTATCTCGGATACTGGAATTCGTTTTACAATCAATAGTGATTTGGATTCAGAGAAACAGTAGTCTATAAAATGAAATTAAAACTCTTTACTAAAGCAGATGAAGGTTTACAATTTATACTTCATAGTGCTCTGCAGGTCATCTCAGAGGACAAGGAAACATAAGACAAGGAGGTGCCCAATTCCACAAAACAAGTTTCATTTTTATCCTTTCCCTTTCGGGAAATTCCCGAAAGGAGGCATTCATATATGCTTTAATCCAGAAAAATGCCTAAGAAAAATGCTTGAAAACCACAAAATCAGATAAATTATTAAGATCCTTTGAAGGTATCAGCTTCCACGAAGTACCAAAAAGTAATTTAAATACAGTAAGACCAAAAAGGGCTTTAAATGCTTTATCACTCCCAAAGCTAGTATATTTATAGTCCATTGACATCTAGAGTCTTTCATGGTTGCTTCAAGAATAAAGAATAAAATTTAATGTCCCATATAGCGGTACTTCTAATTTAACACTAAAACACACATAAAAATACTAGAGTTCTCAAACACTGGAAAACACAAAGCAGTAATTTTTTTCATCCAAGGGATTTTTTTAAATTTAAATCATGAACACAGTCTTCCTCCCTCCCTCAAAAATGTTGACATTCCCTTAAAAATTTACTGGTAACCATACTTTGCTCTGTACTGGGCTCAGGCTTTTGAAGCTACAAAGATAAATCAGGCATCACCTTAAAAGTTTAAAGGAAAATGAGACAATATCGTTATTAATCAGTAGAAAAGGGTAAAGTACCAAAGAGAAACAAAGGAGTATGACATGAAAAGATAACGCAATGGAGCTGAGCAGTGGGAGATATTACCTCCAACCACAGGTAAGGTTCTTAGTAGAGGCCACCTGTAAAGGGAGTCCTGAAAGGAAGAAACAAATAATCTCTCTGCATTTTGATATGTGATTACATTGTCATTTGGTGTTCAATCAATACTTCACATTTTTTTTTAAAGAGAGAGAGAGAGAGAAAGAATTTTTTAATATTTATTTTTCAGTTCTTGGCGGACACAACATCTTTGTTTGTTTGTGGTGCTGAGGATCAAACCCTGGCCGCACGCATGCCAGGCGAGCGTGCTACCGCTTGAGCCACATCCCCAGCCCAATACTTCACAATTTTAACAAGTTAACAAGCCCCTGAAATAACAGTGCTTTAAGTATAAAAACAAGCAGGTGCACATTAATAAAAAGGGGAGATTAAGGGCTGGAGTTGTGGCTCAGCAGTAGAGCACTTGCCTTGCACACGTGAGACCCTGAGTTCAATCCTCAGCACCACATAAAAATAAATAAAATAAAATAAAGGTATTGTGTGCAACTACAACTAAAAACTAAATATTAAAAAGAGGGGGGTAAATTTCCTTGGGGTAGTGCAGAATAAGCGGGGGGGGGGAGAGTAACTCCATCAGGGCCTTGAGGATGATCAGGAGTTTGTCGGAAAGGGAAAGAAAAGGATATTTCAAGCAATGGGAAGAACATGAGCAAGGGCATGGAAAAGTGACAACATGTGGCATCTTAAGGGACAAACAATGACGGAGTTATGAGTTTTATTTGACTAAATACAAATAAAAATGAGGCCAGACCGTGAGGTGTTTTAATCACATGCCAAGGAATTTGGCTTCATTACGTAGGCACAAAGGCTTTAGGCAAAGAATGATGTCACATAAACACCATGAAAGACTCTACTATTAAAATTTTTTGGAACTAAAAATATTAAAAGTTTCCACTGGCTACAAAAACATATGAGAACATTAGTTCCAGAGCCTCTGAAATAACTCAGAGGTCCCACTGGCCTATAGGCCATGAGTCCAGGTAAGATTTAACCATTTACTATTTCTCTGCGGATCTTCAGGGCACAGGATACAGTGGAACCAACAAAAATTGGTTTGTGATTAAGAAAAATGGAGAGAACAGATGATTGATCCAAATTTTCTGACCTGATTATCTTAACAGGATGCAAGTTTTGTCTAGGAGATACTCAGAAATTCAGAAATCTGTGCCATAAATTCTGCCCATAAGTAGGTAAAACACAGGTTTGGAGCTCTCCCAAGAAGCTATAAGCCATAGATAGGAATTTGAGCATCACTATCTATAATATACTAGTAAGAGTTGAAGTCACATAGGTGGAAGAGATCACTGAGCCTGAATGGAACCCAGTTTGGAATATAGTAATCCGAGGTCAAAGGTGAGACTAGATAAGGGACAAGAAAGATATTCAGAGAGGAGAAACAGGAGAAGTATAATATGAACCAAAGAAGGTACACACTGCAAAAACCATTTGTAGTATAGTACCAAATGAAAATTAGAAGATCCACTAGCGTGAAGATTGCAAAGAGGCTACTAGATATGTCAACTGGGTAGTTGCTGACAAATAAGCATTCATTAGAATGGGAAGCAGGTAAACAACAGAATGAGTTAAGAGTGAATAGAAAATATGGGAGGAGAAACAGTACAGATTACTTCAAAAAGTCTGGGAAGGAAGGACAAGTGTTAATAGCATGACATACCATCAGACAGGAAGGAGGACATACATTTTGTGCATTATCTGTTTTATATGACTTATGCCTAGAGACTCAGAATAAGGTCTGCCTTCAGTTTTCTTTTAGTATCTACCATATTATATAATAAAATTAATGGCACCATAAATCATTATTTGAATGCTAAATACAATACTACATAAACTTTGCTAAATTTTAATTAAATTATTAGGATAAAAGGGAGAGCATTAGATTCTAACCAGCAACTCATTAAACACAAGTCATTTATCTGCATGTGTAAAAGATGCCATGCCCTGTTATGCAATTCCACAGACTATGTCAGTAACAGTGGGGATATTATAAGATATTACATTAATTCCTTCACCCTGAGCTGTACAAGAACATACTCACCTCCATAATAGAGTCCTGTAGCAGTGCACATCCGCCACTGTCCCTGATACATTCCTGCTCTGCTGGGGCTGCACATCTGGACGCTGACATCTGCAATTTCTTGTGGCTCTAATGATCTCACCATCACCATGTTCACATGTCCAAATTGGTCTCCCCCGACATACTTAAGACAAACCCCTGGAGGCCAGGCCTCTGCCCCTGAGTTCAAGCACAAGGAAAAAAAAAAAAAGTTAGGTCATCAGTAGTCCTATGCTTGTTGTAGTTTATTATGAAACTATAAAGAAGCCCCTTTCTCCATCTCACATACATACAAAAACCTACCTACAAACTGAGTTAGTCAATGTCTAACTGATCAGAAGGAATTATCAGAATCGACAACCTCTGACCAAGAGTCTATCCCTAAGAGAATTGACTTATGGCAAAGACAAAGCAGTTCTTTAAGAAGATGTTTCAGGTGATGTCCATGAAGTGTCAAGAAAATGAAGCATAGGCCCATACCTTTAGGAAACTGCTTTTTTTTTTTTTAATTGAAGAATAAATGATTTAATCTGATTCTCACAGTATTGTTACATTTAAAACTCATCAGGGCTTACATCATTGATCAAATACAAACTACAATGTTAGCTGTCAGAAATGTTTTGTGACTGAATAAGGCAATTATTTGCAAGCAAAAACAAAAACAAAATGAAAACACATCCCCTCCACACACCTTCTACATACACAAACAAAACAAAACCCAGAAGTAGCATTGTGATAATACCTTATTATACAATTAGAAAAGTCAAGGTAATTTTTTATAAACTAAATAAATGAGATAGAAGTGAGTTGTATAAAAATCTTACATGATGCCTTCACTAATAACCAAAGCAATAAAATTTAAAAACACCAACTAAACAAATGAACTAATGAGGGGGATGGGGAAGAAATGAACAGAATTAACAAATTTGAGGAAATAAAAAAACTCATATAATTTAAAAATTTAGTTCCCTAGGACATTTGAAAGTAATCATTTCACATGATATTTATGGGAATAGAAATTTTAGTGATAAGACCAATGAGCCTGTTTAAACTAAAACTTTCTAAAATATTTAAAAACTAGGCAAGGAGTTTTAGAAATCAATATTATTAATTATAACTTTTCTTATATAATGGTATTTTTGTAGTAGCTTAGTATTTGTATTCTTTCCAAAGTATAAAGAGTAAAAATTTAAGAATATTCTTTTTCTTGAAGGTCTGTAGATATTTTAAGAGAGAAAAAGTTCTTCATGATGCATAGAAATGTCACAAAAAGTTTTAGAAAATTTTACTGCTATAAAAATCATTCCATGTTTGATGAAAATTTCATAAACATCATCGATAATTATTAGAATAATTGCAGTTTCTATGTAAAAATTCTCAATGCAAGTTTCATGAATAAACTTCTGTGTTTTGATTAAACTACTTTTAGCTTTGAAATTTTCTTTCATAAGTGTTGACTGTCAAGTTTATATAAATACTGACATAAATTAAGCTGGAATGGATATGAATGTAATCTAACATATATTTCTAATTTTGATTTAGTCTTATTGAAGATCAAGTCCAAGTTACTTTGGCAAAGCCAACGTGAAATCTGGATTCCTCCAATTCCTGAACCATTGCCCTTGCATACTGCCTATATTCTATATGTGTCGCTATCAAACCGGGTTTTAAACATAATAGTAAAGGAGCTTATCTCTTAAAGGGATCTCATATAGACTTTCTCTACTAAAAGATAATACATGTTCACTTTTATATGGACTTAGGCTGATATTCAAAGTAAAAATGTCTGATTATTCCCAGCTTTTCCAGAGATGAGAGAATGAAACACATGAATAATAATGTCTATACTAGTCTCACTGTAAAGTTGTTTTTTGCCAGATATATGATCTTTCTTCTGGGATCCTTAACTATAAAATACCCAGGTTCAAGAGACTCCTCAAATACAAGACAATGATCAAATAAAAGTTTAGATCTCAAGTTCAAATGGCAGTGGGCCAAACGTAAACAATGAGGTGATCTCCATTACATGATCGTGAATGAACTGTTGTCCCATGAACCAGCCAGAGGTGCTGATGGAAAGGATGGAAATAGTAATATGAAGAACTGGCTTTAGGAAGAATGTTTTTCTTCCTTTGGAAGGGCCAAAGATCTTACCTGGTATGTACTTTACGTGCTTATTTACACCTAAACTGAAAACATGTAATTCAAATGAGAAATCTATGAGTTGACTACCTCTGACAAGTCAGGTGGTATAGGTAGCCACACAATGACAAGATACAATCTTACCTCTGAAATCTCTCCAATGTGAAAAACCTAATATATTCCCTTTTAAATATAGACATAGCCCTCTATATTCTTTTTTCTGCAATATAAAAATTCATTATAAAAATCTCTGAAAAGTTGGACATGGCAGGACTCTCATGACAGAAGATACTTGTGATTTATCTCCAAGTAATACCCTTGGATGCCTCAGTTCCTTGCTTTCAAAGTGCCACATTGGTTTTAAACATATCCGACCGCCAACTACTAGAAAGGAAACAGACAAAAAAGAGCAAACAGTGATCTACTGCTGAGATTTTAACTCTATTATAAACAGCACCCTTTGCAGCTCCTCATTTTTATGGGGTAGTACATGAAATAGTGTCTAACGTGTCTTGGCATATACTCTTTTAAAACATCTGCCACCAGCCATGTTCAGTAGCACATGCCTATAGTCCCAGTTACTTCGGAGGCTGAAGGATTGATTGAGCCCAGGAGTTTGGGACCAGCCTGGGAAATGGCAAAACTCTACCTCTTTAAAAACAAACAAACAAACAAAACTAATAGCAAAGTGCTCCCTAATTTAACACTATAGAGAGCAATCTATGATGGCAGAAGTATTAAGGGAGATACACTTGCAAAACATGCAAATTCTGCTTTTCATTTCTGAAGACTGTAGCCTAGCAAAAGCATATTTCTCTTAGGTCAAGACTAGCAGTAATGGACATAAAAGTACCTTAAGAATGTCAAGTCTCCTTAAAGACCAAAATTCAACATAAAAAAGTAAACTACTACTGGCGCAGTAGCGCACGCCTGTATAATCCCAGCAGCTTGGGAGGCTGAGGCAGGAGGATCACAAGTTCAAAGCCAGCCTCAGCAAAAGCAAGGTGTAAAACAACTCAGTAAGACACTGTATCCAAATAAAATATAAAATAGGGTTGGGGATGTGGTTCAGTGATTATGTGTCCCTGAATTCAATCCCCAGTACTGCCCCTCACCCCAAGTAAACTGCTACAGGTCTCAATTTAAAATTATTCCTTAAAAAACTACCCCACAGGGGCTGGAGTTGTGGCTCCGTGGTAGAGCGCTCACCTAGCATGCACAAGGCACTGGGTTTGATCCTCAGCACTACATAAGTGTAAAATAAAGATACTGTGTCCACCTAAAACTTAATATATATATATATATATTTTAAATACCTCACCCTTGCCTTTCTCTCTCTCCCTCTTTCTCACACACATACATATGCATAACAAGACAATGTCTGATTATATGAAATCCCAAAATATCTTTTTTTTTTTTTAACTTCCAAAAAAAAATAAAATAAACCAAGACTGTCTGAGTGTGAGAAGAGACTTGCCTATCCTGGGCAGACAACCACTAGTATCTGAGACTGCCGAGTCTCTTAATGATACCTAATAGGAGCATTTTTATATTCCAGAGAATCTGAGTTAGTAAAACACCAAATGGGCAACATTTAATGGTCTGGCCAAGGCTCACTCTCCTAGGTACCACAGATAACTGTAACTGCTCAATGTCATGGTACCAAGAGGGCTTTTTGAAGAAAAAAATGGAAGAAATACCCAACATCAATGCCAAAGTGTTAATCTGCTATGAAGTGGAAGAACAAATCATCTTAAGAAAATTGGGGTGCTGGGATTGTAGAGCATTCGCCTAGTATTTGCAAGGCCCTGGGTTTGATCCTCAGCACCACATAAAAATAAAATAAAGATATTGTATCCAACTACAACTAAAAAATAAATATTTTTTTTTAAAAAAAGAGAAAGAAAAAGGAGGGAAAAACAATAATCTGCCTTCTGAGAGTTTTCAATGATGTATTTAGAGGTTCTTAAAGTCATAACTATTAGGTCAGATAATTTTGAAAAGCTCAAGATACTAAATGCTCAATATAGAATAAAAGGAAGTAGTGGTGAGCTGTTTGGACCACCTACCTCACCATACCTGGAATCTGAATTTCAAAAGTTTATTATGAAACAGGACTTCAAATTCTTTGTTACAAACCATTTTAATGGAAAATAGGTCTATCTAGAAGAAATATAAAGACATATCTGTGATTTATGATTTCCAAGTATCAGAATATAGTGTATGATTAAGATTGTGATGTTCTAGTTATGAAACATCACTTTATTTAAACAAAAATAATACAGCTAGAAGTGTTAGCACATGCATTTAATTTCAGCAACTCAGGAGGCCAAAGCAGGAGGATCACAAGTTCAAGGCCAGCCTAAACAACTCATCAAGAACCTGTCTCAAATTTTTTTAAAAAGGGCTGTGGATGTAGCTCAGAGGAAGATTTGCATAGCAGGCACAAGCCCCAAATTTGATCCCCAGAACTGCAAAATAAAGAAATACATATAAAAATAAGTAAAAATAAAACAAAACAAAAAAAACCCTATCATGGTAGAATGGTGGAAAGTATCACAAAAAATCAGATGAAAGCTATTCAACAGTTCTAGAAAGCCTGAGAGTTACTATCGGTGATTACAGAAATAATTTGGAGACAGGAACATCCAAATAGGGAAACAAACCTCAATGAACATCTCTTTTTTAACCTCTATGTATGGAGACTGCATTTCAAATGAAGTTCCAAGAAAACAAAGACCTTTATCACCAGGCCTTGTCACCAGTTCTCCCCTGTGCCTAATAAAGAAACTGGAACATACTAAAATGTTAAAGTATCTTCTCTATAACATTACTTCCCTATTATTATACTTTCTCATAATCATAAAATAAAGACAGAAAATTAACTATTTCAATAAATGAAAAGTGGAGGAAATAGTTGCTCTTCTCAAGTTCTGTCCCCAAACCTTGTTTTATTATATTTATATTTATAAATTTATATTATACTTCTATATATACTTCTATGGAGAGTTCAGAAAATAAGACTCTAGATCAGTAGGCCCACCTGATCCAGAGTTATTGTAACATGCTCAGCTTAACTTTTACTATAGCTAGGAGACACAGCATGGAGTTCTGTTTTGGGTTTTTGTTGTGGTTTGGATTTTTTTTTTTTTTTGGATACTGGGAATTGAACCCCTGGACACTCTACCACTGAGCTACAACTCCAGACCTTATCTTTTATTTTCTGAGACAGAGTTTGACTAACTTGCTGAGGCTGGCCTTAAACATGGGATCCCCTTGCCTCAGCCTTCAGAGTCACTGGGATTACTGGGCATGTGCCACCACACCCAGCAGAGCATTGTTATAATATTAATAACCAAAAAGTACTGTTGTTAAAGATTCTGTCTACACACATTTTTAGAGGGACAGTTTTGAATTTTAACTTTAACCTCCAATTTTAAGTTTTCCTGCTCAGACTTCCCAATGACAAAAGTTTAGATGCTGGAATTATGTGTGTATATTATTCAATGTTAAGCATTTAAATAGTATGTGACATTTACCTTCTTTGTGGAAGCTGTTGAAGAGCTACATGCAGGTCCTATCAATCCCATCTGTTGTATATGTAAATGCCTAGCATGCCTAAAAAACAGCACCAGACACTGGGCGGGGTAGTGCATGCCTGTAATCCCAGCAATTTGGGAAGCAGGAGGATCTCAAGTTCAAAGCCAACCTCAGCAACTTATCAAAGCCCTAAGCAACTCAGTAAGACCCTGAATCTAAAAAAAATACAAAAGAGGCTGGAGATGCAGCTCAGTGATTAAGTGCCCCTGGGTTCAATCCCCATTACCCGCACCCTCCCGCCACCAAAAAAAAAAGGTAGCAAGGAGATGCCTTAAAAATTATTTTTATGTAATTCTTTCAGTAAGCACTTGTCTCTTAAGTAATAAATAAGAGATTGGGATGAGATCAAAGAACCAGTATACATTCTCTTTAATAACACATTTGCTATTCAAAGGGACCATTCCTTAACCAAATGGAAAACATCCAGTTTATAGATATAAGACTACAACTGGCTGAACAATGTCCAGAAAAATGGAAAACCTATTTGTGCAAAGCACCTTGAAAGATAAAATCTCCAGTAGTAACTGCAGCCCAATGTTTCAACAAAACTTCAGACACAAGAATGCCTTCTCACACACAGGAAGAAGGGCTACAGACCCAGAGGCTTTTTAAACTGCCACTACCAAGCAAAGGAGAAGGGAAAAGCAGCCAGGCCCACCATCAGAGATTTTTCTGAATTAAGGTGGTTCTGATTTGCCATTACAGCCATTATATCTCAACTTCCCCAACCCCTCCCTTTAATCCAAGGAACTCTCTGGTTAGTGTGGTTTGTAAGTGATATATAAATGTTATTATGTGACCAAGACAGTATTTAAAACATTTCAACAGTACTCTTAACAACTTTCAATATTTAAAAATACTAAAGAACTCATTATAAGTAAACAAGATCCTGAGTTTTTTTTTTTTAAAAAAAACTTTTGAATAAGTCATACTTTTACAGAAAACTTCACTCATAAAATAATTTCACATGTACGTTTCCAAAGCACTTTTGATCAGTAACAGCTGGTATTTGTAATTCAGAGAAAAAAATATGATGAATAGAAACTGAAGACTGTTTTGATATTTTTAAAAGCAAGCCAAATTAGGAACAGTGAGAAAGAAATTAGGCAAAGTAAAAAATCTTTGACCAAGTAAGAACTTCAAAAAAACAAAAAAGGAAGAAAGAAAAATGCGGTTATTTTCCTGTATTACCATGCGCTTCCCAAATTAACACTGCACCAATGTCATAACCAAAAAGGAAAGAGGTTAATAAATTTTACAAAACCATAGCTGCCTTAAGTCACCTACAACACTGAATCTGTCCAGATTATGTGCATTTGGTTAGTGACATACTGAACTTTCCTCCAAGGAGAATTATTTCTAAACATGCTGGAGGAAAAAAAATATTAAATTCAGTACATTATTCTAATATAAAAGGCTAGTTTAGCCAATCTTTCCCCATCACAAAAACACAAAAAGTAAACTGAGTCAATAAAGGTCAAAGCCCTAAGCAACTCAGTAAGACCCTGAATCTAAATAAAATACAAAAGAGGCTGGTTATTATAGGTCTGCTGTAGTCCCCAGATTTTTTTTTTTAACCATCTCATATCAAATTACCTTGCTTAATTGCTTCTGAACAATACCCCCAACACCTACACATTTTTAGCTACATACTTTTTGCCTAGTTTTCCATCACTCAGAGTTCCTCTGGAAAGTCTTAACAAGGAAGTTAAAGCAACTTCAACCAGTCAGAATAAATTATTATTAGATGGGACTAGAGAAACTAAACCTGAGGAAATAAAGAACTTGACAAGTAAAAAGGTAAATTAAGTTACCAGACAGGAATTCAGACATTATTTTCAAAGAATTATGGTCAATTTATTTCCAATTTGTCTTAAAAGAGGTAGTAGAACATCAAAAAAATGCCCTTGGGGCTGGGGTTGTGGCTCAGCGGTAGAGTGCTCGGCCTCGCACATGTGAGACCCTGGGTTCGATCCTCAGCACCACATAAAAAATAAATAAATAAACATAATAAAGATGTTGTATCCATGTATAACTAAAAAAACTTGAAAAAAAAACCCAATCACTTATTTTCAAATAATTTCCCTCACTTCTGAACAAAACCTACCAACAATATTTTTCAAAGTGTATTTCAAGGATCTTTCAATGAAATTTCAAAAACAAATCATTCTTGTGATTGCAAAGAAATGAGCTTTCAAAAGAGCAGATGCTCACAGGTCTTTCCAACAACCTTTTTCTATTCAAGGTACCTCCGTGAGCCTGCTGGAAATGACTGGAAGATTTATTAGAGCAGAAATAAAATGATGGAGAAAAATGTACAGGTGGAGACAATACTCCACCACAAACAAGCCTAGCTCCAAGTACCAAATGAATACTGGATTGTTTAGATTCCATCAAGATTTAGAGGCTTGGAAGCATGAGACCTAAATTATTATTCCTACTCTTGAGCAGGGAAAGCAGGGATGTTTCACTAATATTTGGTCATCATGCTGTACAAGAAAATTCTACATACCATGCACATATAAGAAAAAGTTCAGAATCACACAATCAGAATCACTACAAGATAAAAACATACCCGAGTAACCTTTTTCAGAAAACAGAGAACCAAACTGGACAAGGGAGAAATGCCTTTTATACACTTACCAGAATTCTGGATCCGCCATGTTTTTATAAACTGAGTATCAGGAGGTATTGACTCCCCTTCTCCTATGGTGACATCTTTAACAAAGGACATGGAGGGCACACTGATGTTTGGGCTCTCAAAGTCATAATAGGCTCCAATTGCTGCCTGTAAGTTCCTACAAATAAAGAGAAAAAAGCAAAGCCTTCAGTCCTGGCCAAAAGATATTATTTAGCCCATGTCTTAGGATTTGTCATAGAATCTGAAGCTTCTGGTATGAAAGTCTTCAAGGTCACTCATTCTGGCTGAGGAACAATAGAAAATCACAAAACTAAATCAACAAACTTTTCTATCACTTTCTTCCCAAGGTACCCACATAGGAAGTAGCAAACCATACCACAGTGACAAAATGATGAAATCTGTTATACATAAGGATGCAAGAATGAGTAAGGAAATCAATTGAGAGCTCCACTGAAACTGATTACAGAATTCATAGAAACTCCACGTTTTTAGACATTCTAATTACTTAGATTTTTAAAAAATAACCATCTTATCTTTTCCTTCCTAAAAACATACACATGGATAAACATTCATATTACTTTCTTAAATATCATTCCAGAACTTCAGTTCCTCCCGGCACATACAAGATAATGAGCTATATATTCATATTTTCCTCTGTTTACATAACTGATGTCATATTACCCACTACTCTAGTTTTATTCATTTAGTACAATATCTTGAAGATATTTCTATATCACTACTTACTACAGATTTTTTATAGCTGAATTCATTATATAGATGTTATTATTTATTTAACCAACTGACTTCTGAGTGTTCCCAATCTTCAACTTTTTCATAAGTAAGTTTAGGCACACATCAGTTTGTGTACATGCACAGTTATTTGTAGAATAAATTCTTCTAAGTGACAGTACTTGATCAAAGGGCATAAAGCTGCAGTTTTCACAGATATATTCAAACTTTCTTCTAATAAAAGTTGTATAATAACACTCCCACAAGAATTATGAGTACCAATTTCGCCTCTTCTCATTGACAGTGTTTTTTCAACATTTTTTATTTCTGCCAATCTGACAGGTAAATAAATATATATATATATATAAAATCAGTAAGATCTTACCATGTTTTCCTGAGGATTGGAGGCATAGTTCAGTGATCATGGACATGCTCCGCATGAACAAGGCTCAGGATTCGATCCCTAGCAAGCACGTGAATGCACACAAACGCGCGCGCGCGCGCGCGCGCACACACACACACACACAGAGCCTTACACTTTTTGAGGGGAGGGGGATACCATGGATTGAACCCAGGAGCACTCAACCAATGAGCCACATCTCCATCCCTTTTTTATTTTGAGACAAGGTCATACTAAGTTGCCTAGAGGCTCACTAAATTGTTGAGGCTGGCCTTGAATTTGTAATCCTCCTGCCTCAGCCTCTACAGTTGATGGGATTACATGCATGCACTACTGTGCCCAGCAGCTGTTCACTTTTATATGGGAAACTGAGTATCTTTTTAGACATAAAAAAGCTATTTGTAGTTTCACTTTTGGAAGAATCATTTTATAAATGCTGGCATTGTTCTGAAATTATTTGCAAACTCCCTTTTGTGAAAAGAACTACAAACACATAAACCAGAGTCTTCCCAACTGAACCGAATCACATCACTGACAGCTTGGTTGATCAGTGTCAGAAACTAAAGGCCATAAAGGCTGTTTAAGTAAGCTATGTTCATTACAGAGATCAAAAACAATTTTTTGTTAATTAATTTAACTGCTTGTCTCTGGTCTTACTTCAATCAGTGACATCATCCCCAGTTCCCATAGTAGACAACAAACCAAACTGCATGTTTCTAAACATAACCCAACCAGAAGCCAGTGGATCTGTGGCTGCTTTTAATTATGCATTAACAGCATGAAAAAAGCTCTGACAGTATGCAACTGTTCAACAGACATGCTATTAACAGCAAATACTTTTCTGCTGAGGGCCTGCCTGCTTCTCCAGGTGTTTACAACTGCCAAAAAGGAAGGCTATATTTAGAGTGGCTACCTCAGGTCAAGCTTCATGCAATGGTGGCCTGTCATATTAGTCAGTAAAAACTGGAATTATAATACCAACTGTCTGTCCATCATGTGTGCTTGATAAAATTACATGAAACAGAGCTGGGCTAGAGTCCACACTGTACCTGTTTGCCCAACTCTTCAATACAAAGGTTTGGACTTTGATCTTCCTAGCAGTTTCCTATCTAGCTGATACTAATCCAAACTAAAGTATAATGTGACTGATCAAACTTAAGGAATCACAGAGTACCTACAAACAGAAAAGTACATCTGGACTCAGACTTACCCTTAAGGATCAGGGATAACATGAAAGAAAAACAGGCCTAGTTTGCAATCTGTTCTTTTGAAAACATATTGTAAAAGCTATTACTTTTATATATATATGAAGTAACATAAATGTTGGTGAGAATGTGGGGGAAAAGGTACACTCATACACTGCTGGTGGGACTACAAATTGGTGCAACCACTCCGGAAAGCAGTATGGAGATTTCTTAGAAAACTTGGAATGGAACTACCATTTGACCCAGCTATCCCATTCCTCGACACATACCCAAAGCACTTAAAATCAGCATACTATAGTGAGGCGGCCACATGAATGTTTATAGCATCTCAATTCACAATAGCTAAGCTATGGGACCAATCTAGGTGCCTTCAACAGACGAATAAATAAAGAAAATGTGGTAGATATACACTATGGAATATTACTCTGCCTTAAAGAAGAATGAGATCATGGCATTTGCTGGTAAATTGATGGAACTGAAGACTATCATGAATGAAATACAGCAATCCCAAAAAGACCACCGGTCTAATGTTCTCTCTCATATGCAGATGCTGATCCGAAATAGGTGTGGGGGGCGAATAGAGGTTCACCAAATTGGACAGGGGTAGTAGGGGGGGAAGATGATAGAAATGTGACAGTGAATGAATCAGACATAACTTTTCCTTTGTCCATCTATGAATACTTGACCACTGTAACTCCATATCACATACAACCACAAAAATGGGAAGTTATACTCCATGTATGTATACTACGTCAAAATACATTCTACTGTCATGTATAACTAAAAAGAAAAAAAAACTACCATATGATCTGGCAATCCCACTGCTGGGAAAAAAAGATAAAAATATATATTTTTTGGTCTCAGGTCTCCAGCAAGTAGCCTACTGAATTGGTTTCTGTTCACCTGGCTGTAAAAAAAAAAAAAACACTCGGAGAGAAGAAACTATTTGTACACCGGGGACAGTTACCAAATTCTCATCTCCAGCATTTTTTTTATTTCGCCCCTTGACTCTACCATCAGGACAGGACTTTAAGACCACTGAAGTAAGAACTATCAAGTGGAAAAGTCAAGCTATGCTATTTAGGCAGATCCATTCCCCGCCTTGATCTCCTTTCACACATTCCAATTCTTCTTACAGCAAAAGACAACAAAGCTGTTTATTTGTACCAGTATTATACAAGTAATTCATAGGACAAAGATTTAGAAACATTTTTTACAAGTCCAAACTGAAACTGAAAGTAGTGAACTGGACTTCTGACAGTAAGTTAGAGTGCAGAATGACAAAGCAAATTCATCTCCCAAGTACAAGGCAGAAAGTGGACGGTGGCCCCATGGGGCTACAATCCATCAGGCAGATACACAGCTCCAAAGACAGGTACATGGGGTTGCTGAGTTTGGATCATTAGTACTACTGTCCCACTGAACCAAACAATAGCAGGGAGAGACCAAACAGCTTCAATCCAGAGTCAGCAAAGCAGCCATAACATGTACTCCCTTTGAAAACAACATGCTCAGCTATTATTAGCCAACAAGAAATTCTACATTGAAATAAAACTGGCTGAGATGAAAGGAAAAGAAAAACACTGACCCAATATTCAGGACCGTCGGAAAGTTATCTCCCAGGTTCCTTCAGTGTTTTTGCTCAACAGGAGTTTTTAATCTGATTTCAAATAGTTAAAAACACCCTGAACAACCAAGGAAAACAATTAACAGTGAAAAAAACAACACAGGCTAAGAAAAATGGTGGTAATGGTTACAACAATATGAATATCCTTAATGTCATAAGAACCATACACTTGGGGCTGGGGATGTGGATCAAGCGGTAGTGCGCTCGCCTGGCATGCGTGCGGCCTGGGTTCGATCCTCAGCACCACATACCAACAAAGATGTTGTGCCCGCTGATAACTAAAAAATAAATATTAAAAAATTCTAAAAAAAAAAAAAAAAAAAGAACCATACACTTAAAATGGATAACCAGTAAAATTCTATACCATATAGATATTATATTACCACAACTAGACAAAAATTAAGGTATCAGTCTTTGAAGTCAGCTGCATGACTCTGAGCAGGTGGCTAATAGAGTTTACTCACTGGCAAAATCATGTTGATACCACCACATCACAGGGATGGCTGCTAAGGCAATGTATGAAAATATTCTTTACTGACATTCATTCACTTAACAAATATTTAACAAATGAGCATTTATCCATGTGGTAAGTATCTGGCCTCAGCTAGGGATAGGAGAAAGGCACGGTTTGCCTTCACAAAATTAATAGTCCAGCACACAGTAGCCAACCAGGGACAAACAAGGGTCTCTCTTACTGCCTCTCACATAAAGGCCATTGGACCAAGGCAGCTTTTCCTCTTTAAAGTGAAATATGGGTTTGGCACACAACACCGTTTCAACTGCATTGATCAAGTTGACCTGATATGGGGTAGAAGAATTTGGTGACAAGACATTTGGTCTCTGATAAAATACAATTTTGTTCAACCTTCATTTTATGCAAGAGGCCACTGAGATACTAAAAGGTAAAGGAATTAACCCTAGGCTAGGCAATTAGAATTGAGAACCACATCCATTCAAAGGCTATTCAAAACTTTTTATTTATCCAGACTTCTCTTATTGTAAAACTCTGAACATCTGATTTTCTTTATACATATTAATTACTAAAAATGAACTAGTTGTAATCCCCTAGTTATAATGAATTCTTCAATATAAATAGCTAACCTTTGCATATATTCACATAGAACATTTATTTTTGTACTATGGTACATACATTCATAAGGCAGTAGATCACTGTTCCTATAAAGAGAAACCATCTA